TGGAGACCAGGCTGGCCTCGAACTCACAGAGATCCGCCTGCCTCTGCCTCCCGAGTGCTGGGATTAAAGGCGTGCGCCACCACCGCCCGGCCGAATTCAAACTTCTTGATCCCCCTGCCTCCACCTTCTGAGCTCTGAGAGTACAGCGGTGTAGTGCCACACCCATCTTGAAGTTAAAAATGTAGTTCCAGTAGCCACATCACAGGTGCCTGGTAGCCACGTGTGGCTGCCACTGCCGTAGTTAGACAGCAAGGGTATGCAAAAGTTCCCCTGCACTGGCTGCCACTCACACACCGGGACAGGAAGGCACACAGAGGTAGACTAGGGAAGTGTGAAAGCCCTAGAGCTCAGATCTGCTAGCTCCATTCCTGTGGCCCAGCAGATGAGCTTGGCAGCCTTTGTGATGAGAAGCAGCAGGCTGGAGTAGAGAACCCCTAAGGCTTCTTGGAGGACAGAAAAAGAGTGAGGCAATGAGGGTACTCTAGGTAAAAAAACAGAAAGGACTCAGGGATAGAGAACAGCTCAGGCCAAATGCCATGACAGAATGCCCCATCCTGCAACTCAAAACCACAAAAACCCACGCAGCAGCAAGGCTCTGCATGTGCCCGCCCGCTCCCAGAGGGTCCATACTGAGCAAATCCAGAAGATGTCCAAAAGCAGAGTTCCTGGCCAGGGTGACTCCAGAAGAGCATTCTCTCCCCTCTGTCAGCAGGGGACTAGGCCTTTTCTTTCCTCTCCACAGATGAGAGCTCAGGGCAATTGCTGCTGCAGCGACAGATAGCCACTGTCTTTGTCAAGGTGACAGGAACTGACACACACACTGAGTCACAAGCCCTAGGGCCTCAGTAACTGAATGGGCCAAATCGGAAGACAAGGCCTCCACTAGAAGAGCACATGGCAGCAGGCCTGCCTAGCACAATCTGCACACAGAGCGGGATACTCATGGGAGAAAGAACCCCCCTGCATCAGGGAGGCCCTCAGTGGCCAAACCCTCCAGGGCTGCAGCACCCACATGCCCTAACTAACCTGCTCTACACACAAGGCCAGGGACAAGCAGTTTCCATCCCAAGAACATAATGACTCAAGGCTAGGATTAGAGACCTCGGCCAAAGGGAAAGCCCTGACACTCAAAACCAAGCAAAGGGTTGGAGAGCCATAGAAGGGAGACACACCCAGAAGACTGCCATAAACACTCCCCAAAGAGGAAGAGAAAGCTGCGCGATGAAGGAAACCCCGCCATCACTAGTTAAGAGAAAGAATTCTGCTGAGCTGGACTGTGCTGCTGACATCCCATGCTTAGGGTCCCATCTCGTATACAAACAACCCCGGAGGGAAACAATTAACG